AAAAAAAAAAACATTTTCAAACTTTTTAAAGAAGTATGGAATGATACTTTTTGGATTATTTAGTGCAATAATTTGACAATTACTTGTTCAATTTAATAATGTTTAAGACTTTAAGTCGACCTATCAAACGTGAGAGATCCTACGCTAGGAACAATAAGGACCAGCTTTCTGTTGTCTTCCCTAGTGTTTATCCATTTTATTGACTCAAGCTTTTTTTTTTTTTTTTGCCCTTTCAATTAATAAATAGCATCTTTAAATTCAAAAAATAATTGTTATATATATTCTGATAAATTCTTATGCTCCTTATTTTCCTTTTTCTACCAATTATTTATTATTTTTCCTTAAATTTTTAATTAATAATATTTTTTTAGATGTCAATAGTTAAAACATTCAATATAATATAAATAATTTAAATAGTAGACGCAATCTTATTAAACGCAATTATAATAAAACACAAATAAAGGATGAAATTGATTCTTTCAAACACAGAGAGGCAAATCTTCAGTTTATTTAAAAAAAATAATAAAGAAATTTTTTAAGTCTAATTTCAAGCTTTAATTCCTTAAAATAAAAAACATATCACTTTTACAGACTCTTTTAAAAATATTTTAAACACATTACTTAGCGCTTTTTTGTGCCCCATTATTTGATAGTAATGTATTATGAAATAGTGATTGATATTGAAATGTGTGGTTAAAAAATAAAGAAAAGTTTTCTATTCACGTGTAATATTATTTTAATTAAAAATGTGTGGTTGAAAAAGAGTACCGTGAAAAAATGAAAGACAAACAAAACCTTAATTTATATTTAGCAAGAATGACATGACTCATCAAATCAACAAATTTAATTTAATAATTGGGACCCACCACAAATTTATGTATTAGTAGATTAATTAATACAAGCCAGCTTGAAGTACAGGACCAGGATACACACACACAGTGGAGCTCACAGCAATTTTTTTTTTCCTTTTTATGACATGTGGGGCTCGCCTACTATAGTGAGGGACCTAGCAAGCTCCTTGTGAAATTAATCCCTGCACTTAGGGATTAACTCTAATTAATAATACTATTTAGCACTAATGATGCTAAAACAATTTCCACTACAAGATAAGTTTCATTGGAATGAATAATGCTATTTGTCATTACTGGCGGTGATACCAAGCGACGTTTTAGGTGATTGGACATGAAATGATAAGGCAATTAACCCTTTTTTTAGGTTTTGACGATTTAGTTGCTCATATGGTAAAAATGAGGGGTGAATAAGCAAGTGCATTTGTGGATCCTTAAGAAAATACGTGATTAAAATTAATATTTGACTTTAAAAGTAACATTTTATCAGCTACAAAAAATTCAAACGAAGGTTAAGTATGTAGATATGAGACTGACTTTATTACTCTTATAATTTAATATCACATTACAAGAAGATCACAATTAGTAAGGATAGATAGCATTATGCAACTAAAAATTCATATTCTTTCATTTAATTAATATTAATTGGACTTAGCTAGTAATGCTAATTAAGCTGGTGTTCTAGTATTAATAGTGTTAGATAACATGATTCTTGATTGATGTATATTTATTATTTAGCTATAGTTTTTTTCCCGGAAGGAAAAATCCACAATTAACGAAATAACAATTAAAAATAATAATTTAATATTACTAATAATTTTCATTGGTGATAATTTAAAAAAAAAAAGTCTGATAAATTTAATTAGGGATAGAATTTTCGTCAGCATATAAATTATTTAAAAAAGATATATCATTAAAATACATTTTACTTACTATCAAATACTGCTTTTAAAGAGATTAATTACAATATTGTAAGAAAAGAACTGTTATTACCAATTAAAATAAAATAAAACATGTCTCATTTTCAAGGATTTTACACGTCTTTACCTCAATAAAATGAATTGCGTGTTCAAATTCTCCCTTTCGGTCTTTTAATTTTTTGAAAGTGATTTATGTTATATTTCTTTGTTTCTTACTAATCAACTTGGATATGGCCGTAAGTTTTATCCATTCGAAAAATATTTTGAAAGAAATATGAAATTAAAATTTCTTTGTCAATTTTTCTATTCAACAACGATTTTTTAACATCTTATTATTATTATTATTATTATTATTATTATTATTATTATTATTAATTTTTTTTTTTTTTTTGGTGGATAAGCGATCTTTGAATTATTGCTGACAAGATCATTAAAGGAACGTAGGGCAATCCATTCACTATGACAGCTGCATAAACAAACTAAAAAATTTCAATTAATGCCATAAATGATTGTTAGAAGTGTAGCATAGGACATTAAATAATTTATATAATGCAAAGGACCGTGCTACACGTACATAATCATTTACACAATCGTTTACACCCCACTCACATCATCAAGGTGAGGACCACGACTCAACATTATTAAATACACGCGCGGCCCACGTGTTTGTGAAAGGGGGGGAAGGGGATAACCCCATTCGGTACATATGATTTTATCCTAATGCAATATGCAATCATTTTGTTCAATGCTAACTTTTGCTTTTCCAAAATAATAAAAAAATTCAAGGTTTTGAGACTAATCTTATGCTAACTAGGCCTTGACCACTAGACTAGGTGTTGTGGTTAATAACATAATATAATATATGATATGCTAATTTTTTTTTCTTTTATTTATTTATTTTTTTACTTGTGAAGAATTAAATTAATATTCAATTGTGAACTTAGTGCCTATTTAGCATAACTTTTGAGAAAAAAAATAAAAATTGAGATATAAAACTTGCTTTTGAATCTGTGTGGTTAATTTTTTAGAAGTGTTTTTTCTACTTTTAGAGAAAATTGGTTTAATTTGATTTCCATTAAAAATATTTTTGAAATAGAAACTCTTTTAAAAATTAGCTTCTCAGCAAAAATTAAGATAGTTTAATCCAAAAGCTCTTCTACAAGAAGTAAGAATAAAAATCATCTTGCCCCCAAGGCACATCTCCAAGTGGTAAAAGGGGAGGGTGGTGAAATCCAACTTTGTTTGAGGTTGTCGCGTCAAGGGTTCGAATCCTGAAATATGGATTTGGTTTTTGGATAAGTGCAAGTGTACAAGCAGCCTTCCACCCTATACTCTTGGAGGCATAACTTGCGATTTACCTCCCTCACGATACTACAGGGAAG